CCTGTAGTAGCACTATAAAATCTTTAGTTCTAATTTTAAAATCTTTTAAAATGTTTCTCTAAATTTTAAATTTAAAATTGTTAGGGTTACTCGCCCTATGTCTAAAGTGCTGCAGCAGCTAGTTCTTGTTTCCACACTGTATAGGTGTTATCCTGTGTAGTCTTCCTGTGTGCGTGCCGCTGTTATTCTTTACTACGTGTGCTACTACAGGAACGTCAAAATTAACGTGTGTAAAATAATCTACAAACCAGACAGATATCAATGAAGTAGAAGTTGATAATAACAAGGAAAGTATTTTAAATGTTAAATTTTGGGCTGGGTGCAGTGTGACAGCAACGTGAGTGTTATACACCTGATGATGGCCGTCTGAGGCCGAAACATGTAGTGTAGAGGAGCAAGATCAAGGGCACATAATATATTGTTTGCACTTGGGACGGAATTTGTATCATTATATCATTTATCGAAAGACCTTCAGTTGGCAAAATTGAATGTTCTTCTGTTTGTTTACACTTTGTAGTGCTTGTGTAAGTGCATTAGTGATTGTGATGAGCAACAGTGTGTGTGAAAGAATCGAAGAATGGGAGAGTTATCCAATTTTGAAAAAGTACTCATTGTTGGTGCATGTTTAGCTGGAGCATCTGTCTCAAAAACTGACACATTATTAGGTGTATTGAGAGCGACAGTTTCTAAGGTTTTGTGGGCATAATACCACTCACGAGAAGACAGCAGCAAAGAGGAACAAACAGTGGGCAGAAATTGGCATTGACTGAAAAATCACTTGACTACTGCAGCATAGGTAACAGCAGAACTCAATATTTATCTTGAAGACCCTGTTTCCACAAAAAGTATCTGACATGAGCTTCAGAAATCCGTCTGCGGTAGGGCTGCAATTGCTAAACCTCTGATTATTGAAAATAATGATGAGATGCATAAACCTTGGTGTCACAACCATAAAACCTGGGCATCAGACAACTGGAAATGCACGTGTGATATGGTTTGATGTCATCCTTCACGCTGTTCCCTGTTTCAACAGTGAAACATGGGCGGGGGGATTCTGTGATGGTTTGTGCAATAGTATTTTGCAGTATTGGTCCCATTATCACCCTTCTTGGCTAAATTACTGCCAGGAAGTACGTGGACAGGTTGAATAATTAGATGCATTCCATGATCCAGATGTTATTTCTGAACAACAATGCAGTTTCCGGGACAACAGTGCCCCCATTCACACAGCTGGAACTGTGCGGTTCAGTCATAGTTTGAAGAGCATGAAGGTTAAGACATCATCCCTTGCCAGCACAGTCACCACATTTGAACATCACTGAACCACACTGTTCAGTTTGGAGACTAAAGTGAGGAACAGTTTCCCGTTTCCAACATCTGTAAAACAACTTGAAGATGTTCCTCAAGAAGAATGGTATAAAATTCTGCTAGATACTGATTGAAACTTGTACGAGTCCATTCCAAGAAGAATTTTTGTTGTACTGAAAGCAAAAGATGGTCCAACATCATATTAATGGAGAAATGTGTTTCCATTGTTTTGTCCAACCCATGTACATATCTGCTGCAAGATTACTGTTTATTGTATAGGATCCATGGTTTGGGTTTCAGACCTATTTTATTATGAACACCAAAGACTGATGTGATGGCAGACATCCTAGAAATTGTGAAATAAGTTTTATATTTTCACAAAAGCAGTTAGCCAGTCATTTAAATTTGAAACTTCAGTTCCATAACTTAGGAGAAGGCTGTTTAATTACTTTGTTGAGTAGGCCAGTCTGGGAAGGCTCAGAGATTGTGTGGACCAATGCCTATATGCCTGAACTTCAGTCACACAAGTTTGATGCTGAAAATGTGAAATTAGACTTAGAATCCGTTTATGATATTTGTTTATAAGTATGTAGGTAAGTCAATAAGTAAGTTACAAATGGATATAGAACTTAAACAAATAAGAGTACTGATTTGAAAAATGCTTTTATTTCTCAACATAATCTCCCTGTATGTTGAAGCACTTGTCCCATCGTTTCACAAGCCCCTGATAACCAGCAGCATAAAATTCTTTGGGCTGATGTCGGAACAAGATGTGTTCACACGGCATGGCCTACCTCATGATGCATGACAGGTTAGGTTCTCACAAAGTCTGTGCACGATGGGTGCCGCGTATGCCGACCCCACAACACAAAATGCAAAGAATGGGTCTGGCATTACAGCATCTCAATCGCTACCACAATGAAGGCCAAGATATGCTAGCCCGAATTGTCACAGGTGATGAGTCTTGGTTTCACCATTACCATCCCGAGACAAAGCATGCATCAATGCAGTGGAAACATCCTGCATTGCCGGCCAAAAAAAGTTTAAGGTGACACCATCCTCCAGGAGAGTGATGCTCACAGTCCTCTGGGATCACGAAGGCATACTGCTCACCACATTCCAGTCTCAAGGTGACGCAGGATGTTTCCACTGCATTGATGCACGCTTTGTCTCGGGCTGGTAATGGTGAACCCAAGACTGACAATTTGGGCTAGTATATTGTGTCCTGCATCGTAGTAGCAATTGAGATGNACAGGTGATGAGTCTTGGTTTCACCATTACCATCCCGAGACAAAGCATGCATCAATGCAGTGGAAACATCCTGCATTGCCGGCCAAAAAAAGTTTAAGGTGACACCATCCTCCAGGAGAGTGATGCTCACAGTCCTCTGGGATCACGAAGGCATACTGCTCACCACATTCCAGTCTCAAGGTGACGCAGGATGTTTCCACTGCATTGATGCACGCTTTGTCTCGGGCTGGTAATGGTGAACCCAAGACTGACAATTTGGGCTAGTATATTGTGTCCTGCATCGTAGTAGCAATTGAGATGCTGTAATGCCAGACCCATTGTTTGCATTTTGTGTTGTGCGGTCAGCATGCGCGGCACCCATTGTGCACAGACTTTGTGAAAACCTAACCTGTCATGCATTACAAGGTAGGCCTTGCCATGTGAACACATCTGGTTCCAACAGCAGCCCAAAGAATTTTATGCTGCTGGTTTTCAGGGGTTTGTGAAACGATGGGACAAGTTCCTCAATGTACAGGGAGGTTATGTTGAGAAATAAAAGCATTTTTCAAATCAGTACTCTTATGTGTTCAAGCTCTGTATCCATTTGTAACTTACTTATTGACTTACCCTTGTATATTAAATATTTTATGAAACTGAACATAACATGAGGATTTGTGATTCGTTTATTTTGTATTGATGCATCGCTAATTGAATAGCCCTGTTGTGGGACATTCCTTTTAGTGCATTATTCGGTAAACATGTCACATAACTGCACTTTTTCATCTTTACTGTACCTTATTGTGTAGAGCTGTAAGGTGAGAATACACACCGAGGAAGAGTGAGTCTCCTGCCATGTTCATGCTACCATCCAGCAACCAAGAGGTGAGGCAAGTAGTAGCTAGAATGAATAATGTATTGAGCATTACTAACTTGTGGGCTGTGACTTGTAGTCTGGTAGAAAACTACCAAGATTTTAGGGATACCTGTTGCCTCCATTGTTAGGTAAAAGAGTTGGCCTCAAATTGCACATAAACTTACATTGAGACAAAGTTCTGCAATTGTATACATCTGCTAGTCACACGTAAGATGGGATATACCTCTAGTCTAGTGACTATTTTGATTTTAATTTTGTCAAAAAATAAATACAAAATGTCTGTGTCCAAACCTCGGAGAATTTAAGGTATTTAGTTGAAATTCATACATGTTTTGTATCCTAGTTAGTCACCTTATCATTTGAAATGGTTTTCTTCTTGCCTCAATATTTCCATTTAGTTATTTAACAGCCAAGCTCTATATCTATCTCTTTGTCTTCCCATGGTTCCTCCTCAGTTACTGGCCATGTTCTTCCATCTGTGTAACATCCTTTTTGGTCTTGTTCTTGGGCATTTTTGTCTCACATTCAATATTTTCTTTGGAATTCTCTCTTGGGTCATTCTTAAAGCATGTCCATACTTTCTTATTCTCTTCTTTATTATTCTGTCTTCCTGTGTGTTTGTTTTAATTCTCTTGTTTGGTCTGTCCTAAAAATCTAGTCTCATCTGCTATCATTAGTCTATTACTATTTGCTTTTGTCCATGTCTGTGTACCTGCTTCATACATTAGTTTGTGCCTCTAATAATTTTTAAATACATTTTTCATTTATTTGTAATTTCTTAAGTACATTTCTAACTGCCATATTGGCCGTGCCATAGCTCAAGCAGTTAGTCACTGGCTTCCCACCGCGGCAGCCTGGGTTCAACCCCGGGTCTGGTCAAATGGAATTTGTGGTGGACAAAGTGGCGCTGGAGCAGATTTTCTCCGAGTACTTCGGTTTCCCCTGCCAATCTTCATTTCGCCAAATTCTCCATGATAATCGCCCAGGGCAGGTACAGTAGGCCAATCAGTGGCCACTGTGCCAAGTAGACCCAACTGGACTCCACCCATCACTATGTGAAATTAAAAAAAAAAATTAACTGCCATATTTCCTGAATTTTTTATTTTTTCTGTAACTTCTTCTTTTGCTATTCCATTTGGTAGTCATTTACACGTAAGCATTAAAACTCTCCATTTTATTTATTTCATGTGATTACCTTTGTCATTTCTGTTTTATGTAAGGTCATAAATGGACTTCTTTGTGTACCCCATAAACCCTTCCATAGCTGGAAGATTTTCACTAAATTTATTTAATTATTTATGTTTTTAAATAAGCTTGATAAACCTCGAAGAACTGCGTATGTTGTCCCCTGTGTTTTCCTTGTGCTATTCTTTTAATCATCTTGCCTATGGCAAGTATGTCTAAGTAAAGGTTATGTTGTTTATGCGCTTAATAATTAAGCACTGTACTATGAAGATATACAAGGGAATGGAGGTGTAGCTGCACCATTCTTGACCTTGGTGGTAGATGGGAGTGGTCAGCTTGACACCCTGGCTGCTTTATCCCTGCGTAAATCGCCCTCAGTACCCATTGGACAGGCGGGTGAGTGGGCCCCCACAACCAGTTTGAACACAATGGAAAATAGAGAAATTTTTGCTTCTACTGGGAAACAAACTCCAGCCATCCAGTCCATGGCCTGTTAGTATACTGACTGAGCTGTCCCAACTCCCAGTTTCCTAAGTCCTGTAAAAGTCTGAAATAATTAAGATTTTTTGCTGAACATGGCCACACTGTTTTCACTTTTTGTCTTAGACATTCTTTGTCTTCGTCAATTCTCTGAAATGTTTGTTCCCTGTGCCCTTTCAAAATGCTCTGTCTTCCTATTATCTGTCTGACTGCTACCATTATATCAACTTTTGATCTGTTATCCCTAAAGCCATATTGTTCTCCTCTCAGGATAGTAGTTTTAAATTTATGATTCTCATGTATTCTCATGATTGAGTGATGTAATCTCTTCAAAATTTTTGTATTCTGTTTAGATGTTCTTTGACCTAATATCAGTACCTGAACTGTAGGACAGATATTCTCAATATTTCATATAACAGTGCTTCACTAAAAATGGACACTTCTCTTTTTCGGTAGTGTTCATTCATAATAAAACCTTGTTTGTACAAGACCATAAATAGACTTCACCATGCATCATTTATACAGTTCTATAGATTTTGTTGAAATTCTGTATGGGAGGCACACAAATTTGCATTTCATTGATATTTTTAAGTAAGCTTGATAAACTTCAAAGAATTACATTTGTAATTTTTTGTGCTACATTGTGGGATAAACCTTTTACCTCTGTTCTTCAAATATTTGTTTCCTTCTGTATGCTTTCTTTGTGCTCTGTAAAACCACTGAAATATTTATGCAGTGTCACCCATTTGCTTGTACATATCCCACTGTTCTGTCATTCTTGCGGCTCTATTATTTGGACCTGTTACATCAATTTGCAGATAAAATTTAAGTAGTTGAACAGGTAAATGTGAGTAGAGTCCTGTCATGCATTGCTGGGTGCAATTTAATAATTACATATAAGATGTTATATTGCAATCTCTCATATACTTGTTCCATCTTCCATTTTGTTTTAATTTCTTTTGCTTCAGTGTGTTGAATGTATTTTCTTCTCCTGTGTAAAATAATGTTTGTGGTATGGGTTTTATATATGAATTAAATAATTTTTGTCTCATACACTGTGAGAATGAGGCTGCGACAGCTGAGTTGGTATAGCAATGGGCTACATGCAGGACGGCTAGGGTTCTATTACTAGCATGGGCTAGAGACTTTACTCCACAGCATCACAGCTGTGGGGGCCACCCAGCCTACCATACATTTACCTTTTATATTGTAAAAGTTTAATGTGTAAGTTCATGGTCTGTATTAATAATGGTAGTCACCCTGTTTGAAGATGTACAGTTAACCGAGAAAATAGAAGGGAGAGTCAGTAAATAGGTCACAAATGGAAATAAAACACCTGTAATGGATGTAACAAGTTTTCTATCACTAGGTGGCAGCACCATCTAGCTTCATGACAGTCTAGGTAACAGATTTGCATGCACATGTTTAGAGGCTGGTGTTGGTAGTCAGAATGGTGACCATGTTTAAGGAGCACAGTACAGAAGAGCAGTGTTCTTTTGTGGGCAGAAGGACTGGGTGCAAAGAATATTCATTAATAAATGTTTATGGTGGGAAGTGTTTGTCATGTAAAAAGCAGTTCTTTGCTCGGTGGGTGGCCAAAGTTTCACCAATGACAGAGAGGTTGAAATGGAGGTGTGGAAGTTGTTGAGACGACAGTGAAAACAGTTCTGTGATGCTGGTTTCAAAGCACTGTCAAATTGATGGGACAGATATATCAATATTGATGAAGGATATGCCGATAAATAACTTTTTCTTTTCCAGGGTCAAACAACGCATGGTTTTTAAGTTTTATATCCATTTGTGACCTATTTACTGATTCTCCCTTGTATTAATATTATATGAGAGACTAGCTTTAACCGAAGTGGTCAGCGCATTGTGTAAGGTTTGACATAACTGTGCAAGGCACACCACCAACCCACTTTATTTATTCTTCAGCTGTAACTGAAGTTTAAAGTTAATAGAGTACAGGAGTGCTTGGAGGCATTGTCAGCATATTAAAGTTGGAATGTGTACAGGGAGTTCTAAATATTTCATGAGATGTAATGCTTCTAACACGTACAGGTTACCTATTGTCCGCCAGTAACATTCACATTAACTGGCTCATTATGAGTATGTGTTGAGTGTTAAATCTTCGTGTTGTTTATTTTCTTTGATTTTTCTTTCTTCTAGTATGTAGGAACACGTGACAAAAGCTCTGTACAGTACTCTGTTATCCAGCTTGTGCTCATTTATTTATTTTTTTCTTTCATTTGCCCCTTGTAGATGTGGGAGTGAGGTTAGGTATGAAAATGGCAGGACATTAACTGGAGTGAAACAAAATATTAGACGGAAATTATGTTTTTTTAGGAATTGTTTAAAATCATGAAGTAATTTGGTAGCGCAATACAGAGTATATAAATATTGATGTCGCAGACAAAACAAATACATATATAAGCATGAGTGACTGATCCTACAGATGGAGGTGTCAGGTCCTTCTGAAACATTGGTGACTACCAAACTGCATGGCATCACATCCCAGAAGACCATAATCTTATTTCGTGTGTTGTTTGCCGATTCTGTTGGTTATGAGGTCTCTGGTGCCAGTTAATTGGCTGTGTTTGGGAAGTGATGGAAGAATAAATTGGTTCATTTCTCGTAGTTATGTTGGAAGAACTGAGTATAAATATTGTATGGAATCAAATGAGTGTGGTTGTAAGTCCTTAATTACCATGTTTCCCAGTGTATAAGGTGCATAAATTAAGAAATATTATCATATGTTTATTATAACATTTATATACGTGTGCAATACGTGTCTCATTATGGCTTGACATAATTTACAGTGGTTTCTGGGCATCAAATATGGAACAAGTTCATATGAATGTGTACCTGAAGCTATTCTAGTGTCAGCTTCGTGATCACACCTTGCAGACCTCATGAGTTCAACTGATTGTGCAGTAGAAGAAAATTAACAAAGGACCTATTAACAACTTTATTACAAGAGGTGCCTAATGTGGCTTCTACATGCACCCACACATACGATGGGGTACCCAAAAGAAACCGAACTAATTTTTTTGTGGGCAGAGCTTTTGTAGTACCGCGTTTTGCCGCTATGAGCGCGTAGAGCTAACATTCCTGAGTCGATAAGCCGACTACCATTGCTTCAGAAGGTAAGGACTAGTTTCGGCAAAGTTTATAGTGACAACTGTTTTGTGTGATCGTCGTTTTTGCAATGGCTGATTTTCGTGAACAGCGTGCGGCGGTGAAATTCTGCTTTTTGCTCGGGAAAAGTGGAACAGAAACTCTTGAAATGTTAAAAACGGCGTACAAGGACGATGCTATGGGGAAAACTCAAGTGTTTGAGTGGTTTTCCCGTTTCAAAAATGGTGAAATGTCAATTGATGACAAACCTCGTTGGTCGTCCTTCCAAGGCACGAACACATGAAAATGTTGAAAAAATTCGTGAAATCATCAAGGAAGATCGACGACGGACCATTGAAGAAATTGTGGAGCTGTCGGGAGTGACTTGGAGCTCAGTTCAGCGAATTTTGACAGAAGATTTGGGAATGAAAAGGGTGGCTGCGAAATTCGTGCCACGACTGCTGACTGCTGAACAAAAACAAGGTCGCGTGGAAGCATGCTGTGCTTTGAAAGAAGAGTCCCGAAATGATCAAAACTTTTTTTCAGCGTTTTGCTGATGTTGCTGAGGTGAAGGAAAAAAAGACGGAGGCGCTGTCAAGCATCTCAAAAGATGAATTTAGACAATGTTTTGAAAAATGGAATAAAAGACTAGACAAGTGTATTAGTGTAAGTGGAGAGTACTTTGAAGGGGATTGAAGGTTTGTACTTAAAATTTGAATAAACAAGTTTAAAAAAAAATAAGTTCGGTTTCTTTTGGGTACCCCCTCGTATATGCCAATAACTAAGAAGGACTGTGCAGACAGTCCATCCTTCATAGACATTGATTCCTATCAATTTTAAAATGCATAAGTTCACTTGCATGTGATCGGAATTCAACTGCAAAAATGACAGCACCAAGCTAAAGAAAATGTATCGTTTCTGCAGGTATATGTTTTTAAGGTTTTAAGAAACATATAGTGACATGACACCTGAAAGCCGGAATAGCAAAGTCAGAAAAGACGTCCATTGCCAGACAACAGCTCTGTAAACACATTCCCACGGCAACAAATGTACAAGCAACAATCAAGTAACTTCCGTTGCTATCCAACAGTGCTGTAAACACCACTTCTCAACAATAGAGAGGCTGTGTTTTGTGCTTGGTCCATGCAAAGTGGTTATAAAGAGGGGTGTCAAAGCTGACAGGAACAGCGTACAGTTGAGTCAAGTCTTCAGAATAATGTCAAGAAAGGAATTAGGCTGTGAAAAGAAGACTCCATGTGTGATTTGAAGTGACAGTGAGACTTATAAATCTGTTGCCAGGGTACAACTAGTGAAGACTGAGAACCCTAGTGCATGTGTAATGGTGAAATGTAAAGTCTGTAGATCAGCAATAGCGCTGTATTGCCTGTAGTTCCACAGTGTGTGTGTGTAGAGTGTCAATAAATTCAATCACCCAGTGCAGAACCCATCTTATAAGCCATGAAGAAATTCCAGCAAAGCCAATATCAATGAAAATTAAACTGCTGATGTACAAGACGCTTGAGAGACAAGTATTAACATACCTCTGAGACCTGGGTGCTACCCAAGGCAGATGAAATGTTATTTGCACAATTTGAAAGATGAGTTATCAGATGCATTTTTTGGAACAGTGCAGGATAAGGACACGTGGAGGAAGAGGTACTGTGAATTGTATAAGCTATTTAATGAGCCAGATATACAATAAGCATGGCTGATCATGTTATATGTATGGAAAATAGGACAGTCAAAAAGGTGTTTGATACCAGACCAGAAGTGATGAGGAAATACGGAGGTCCCGAGCTGAGATGGGAGGGTAGTGTGATCGAGAATGTCAGGTGCCTGGGAGTGAAGAATTTGAGGAATGTTGCTATGAATGTAAAAAACTGGCTGAAGCTTCTGAAGAAGGCCAGGGTGCACACAGGACTCTTCGAGCCAATGATGATGGCGATGGCAATGGAGGAGGAGGAGGAGGAGGAACAACAACACAAGGGGATAATCCTTTCACCGCCAGTGATGCACATCATGGCAGTAATTAGGTGGGGGTAGGGTCGTATTGAAAAACGTCTTCCAGTAGTACACTTAAGAATGTTGTGATCAGTGCCAGTAATGTGATTGCCTATCCCTGTGAGACAATTACCTATTTAAGCCTACAGGTTGCTGTAAATGTGGGGTCTTCAGCGAACTGTTGCACAGTCTGAATATAATGGGGATACAATTTGGAGTCGGTGATCAACAGAAAGTTGTGATGATTTGGTGCTCTCGCATTGTATTTTTCTTTGTAAATCCTAACAGCATCTGTATCATTTCCATTTCACTCTGTTACAGGATGCATATATGCTAATTCAGGAAACGAATAACCATTTTGCATTGTGGATTGATATTTAATGTGATTTCCAAGGCTCTGATTGCTTCAGAATGTATTAATGTTTATTTTTCTGCTATGTACAAGGTGGTTCAAATATGACCGGGACTGATTTTTTTTTTAAACCATAATTGCCGAACACTTACTTGCACATTTCAACTAACTCCCCTACAGAGTCGACACATTTTTTCCAATGTTCTGGAAGCATCCTGATGCCCTTTTCAAAAAAGGCTTGTGGTTGGAGGTGTATCCACTCCCGAACAGTCTGGATGATGGCGTCGTCCACAAACCGTATGCCCCGCAAGTCTGATTTGAGCTTTCCGAAATCACTTGGGGCAAATCGGGACTGTACGGCAGATGTGTCAGAAGGTTCCATTTCAATTTCCGGAGGGTTTCCATTGTTGTTTTGCCCGTATGGGGGTGTGCATTGTCTTGAAGGAAGGCTACCCGCTTTCCATGTGTCTTCCACTTGGATCGGATCATTTCCTTCACGTCTGTTGCCAGGAGGTCTGAGTAATAAGCTGCATTGACTGTTCTGGCATCTGTCAGAAAGTCTACATGGATAACCCCCTGCTAGTCCCAGAAGAACGTTGCCATCACTTTTCCTGCCAAACGGCTCCTCCGCGCACTCTTGGGTTTGGGAGAACTGGTATGCCGCCACTCGCATGATGACTGCTGGGACTCAGGAATGAAGTAGTGTACCCGTGTTTCATCGCTGGTCACTAAAGACTTCAAAAATGCATCACCTTCGTCTTCAAACTGCTGTAGGAGATGACTGGCAGCCTGCATGCGCACCATCTTGTTCACGTCCGTCAAAGTGTGTGGTACCCACCGTGCATTCACCTTGTGATAGTGCAGGTGGTATTTCATGATGTCTTCTACACTACCAACACTGATGGACAGCATTGCTCCAAGTTCCTTGATAGTGATGTGCCTATTCTCATGAATAAGCGTGTCTGCACAATCAATGTTTGGCTTGGTGACGGATGTTCGCAGCTGACGATCATGTGGTTAATTCTCCACGCGCTCTCTGCCCTCTCTGAAGCACTTAGACCACTCAAATACACGGGTCCATGAGAGACACTCTTCCCCATACTGTTGTTGGAGTCTGTGGTGAATTTCAGCGGACAGAACGTTTTCTCCAATGAGGAATTTGATCACAATGCGTTGTTCCACACTCCGCGGTACCTTCTGTTCGCGCATCACTCTAGCAACTCCCAGACAGGACTGAACAGGTTCTAACCCGAACAGGAGGGAGGGTGGAGGTTGTGGCTTCACTCCCTGAAGGTCGCACAGCTGCTGTGCAGTGCGGCTTGTTTACACACAAATCAGTCCCGGTCATATTTGAACCACCTTGTATTTTGAGTAAGGCTGTTAGGTGCTGTGTGCATCAGCACAAAGTTTGGCATGAAATGGATCTCTGCAATTCCCATGCAACACAATAAAGAGATGCTCTTAGGATGTTCGTCTTTCAGCATGTGATGGGAGAAGATGACATTCTGATGACGATATCTTTTTATGGAAGGATGTTAGTGTATAATTTGTGATGAACATTTTTTAATTATTTGAATGACCCGAAACTGATATGCAGACTATGATATGATACTCTATATAACTTCATTTCCATTTTTACTTCCTCATGTAAGGTGCATTGCAATTTTTGGGCCCATTTTCAAGGGAAAGAAATGTGTCATGTGCACTGGGAAATACAGTAATTAAACTTAAACATGAAAATAAGCAGCAGTGTGCTATAACCGGTTCTCACCAGTTCAACCAAATTGGTATCCAAAAAATTAAAACATGGAGAAGTGCCCTGGAAGCATGTGTGACCCAGTCAGGTGCTACCATTTAAGCCCTGTGCATTGCAAAGAAATTTTTAGTCCCTTTTTATTGGAATGTAGGCTAATAGAAAATGGGCAGTTGAACTGGTGAGACAGGTAACGGCTGTCACCAAGACCTGATTGTATGCCTGGAACTTCGCTGGAACATCGACAGGTAAGGGGAGTTACTGGAGTAACACCATTGCACTTGGAGGATGAAGATCAAATCAAGGTACATGATGAAATGTTGGTCTGTGGTGTTCTTATTTTTCATGGCCTCTTTTATTGATGGAAGCACAGAATAATTTTTGAGTTAAGTGTCTGTCTGCTGGAGTTGTACTCATAGCCTCGGAATTAGATCAGTATAAATGCCTTGACAATTTTGGCCTTGGGGAAAGAGTGTCAAGTTTTCATTGAGTGGGTTCCAGAGCCTGTCTCTACATGATGGTGCAGAGGAACCCTCTACCCTTGCAAGAAATTTGATCATGGTTGAGTTCTGAGGTGAATTCTTACATTGGGTTTTAAGGGAACTAGCCAAAGAGTTGCTACAGAATTAACACACGGTTCCTGCATCAACGGATATGCATGCAGTAACATGAACAGTTGAAAATGGTAATCTCTATTTGGTTCTCCCAACATTATAAAACAGAGGACACGTGAGAATGTTAGGGAGGGTATTCGTAAGACAGTTGCTGTTGACGGCATTCATCAGACGGTCATAAGAAGTTCAGTGTTCAGCTATGGAGTGCTAACTAGTG